ATCACCCACTCAGATGAATTCTCAGATTGTCCCAACATACCCAGGTTTTGACCCCCGCTAAGGATCTCACTGATTGGCATATCAAAGACAACCCAATCTGACACCTAGTGTAGTACCATAATCGGGTCTAGGGGTCAGGTGTAACTTTCCAGTTTTGCCCATCAATCTCCAAGGTCCAGGGCAATACTAGAAATCTAGTCCAGTTCAAGAGTTCAAGTAATCCTACATTGCATGTGCCTTAGGTCTCACCTTGGCGGTTGAGACAAGCCACCTCAACAGTTGACAACACACTAGTGTCAGCCTTGGCAGGATAAATCTCCCCAGACTTATCCAACGGATGTGAACATTTAAAACCAACACAAGTCTCATTAAGTGTCCAGTTTTAGGGTCTTACACAGAAGTATACCACACAACATGAATCAAACATGTACTTCATTTATTTACATTAAATGTCAAAAGTACATCAAAACTGATTGAAGCTAAGGGCATACAAAAACTATCTAACAATTTCTCCATTTTTTCAAGATGGCTTTCTTGGGCTTCACTCAACTTTTTCCTTTGATTTTCCATTCTCTCTTTTAATTCCATAATTTCCTTCCTTAAATCTGACTCTTCTATTTTGATTTGTCGTTTTTGCTTGATGTGCTCTCTTATTTGCTTCCTTATAGAATCATTATGCCTCCTATCCTTACCTCCTGCTCCTCATTTATCCTGTTTTGCTCATGAAGTTCTAGTGTTGCTTTCAGATATGGATCATCTAGAGGTCATTTGAGAGATTCTTTTGATATAGTACCTCTGGATGGAGGCCTTACTAGGGTGAGGAGTTTTGGTGGTGGCACCAAAGGTGATGGAAAACTTTGACTGCACACCCAATCCCTCTATGTATGATCACACATCGGCTTGGAGGCTGGCAACAAGGTCAAGAATTTTTTTTTATTGGAAGCCTAGTGCTCACTGAACCTCCATTCCAAGTTCTCGCAATATTTGAACCATGTTCCCTTTAATGTTATCAATGGTTGGAATGAACTGTAAGAAGCCTAGTTGCCTTAGGACTCGTACTGGGACATATGGTGCCAATCCAAATAAACCTGCTAGAACCATGCTTTCTCTTCCTTCTGTGGCTAAATAGGGTTGCTTACAACCTTCTTGGACAAACAACCCAATGTTCCAATTGATCTTTCCTTCGATGGCCCTTTGCAATAACGCCAAGTTTTGTTTCTCTATCAAGGTTGCTACTTGTGGATTAGTGCTCAATATTTCTTTTACATTTTACGTGAGTTGCGATAAAAATTTTCCGGTGTGGATGACCAAATGTGGCAGATGTTGTATCAACCATAGTTGTAAGATTTGGAGGGAGCCATGGAACGACCATGCTCTACATGTCTGCAACATGGTTAAGCCCCGCAAAATTTTTGCTAAGATCATGGGGACCAAGGTGACCAATGATGCTTCTTTGATCTGATCCGATCCAACACTGTGACTAGTCTCGCATAAATCCTTTTACAGTCAAGTGGAAATAGGAGATGACCTACGACAACCATGAACAAGGCATTTTTTTGTCCTTCCCTATCCTTCTCTGGTTTATCTGATTTGAAGACTTGAGTGTTGTAGTTTTGGAGAAACTAAACTATGATGCATTCTTCATCTGCCATCTATAATTAAGGCTTTTTGCATGCTAAGAATTGGCATAGGTCTGCTTTATACCCCTACTTGGGAACCAGTAAGGCAATCCCATCTTCAATGGACATTCACAAGAGACAAGCTACTTCTTCTAATGTTTGACACATCTTAATTTCCCTAAAGGAGAAGACCATTCTTTTTGGATCCCAACACTCAAAGGCTGCCTTAACCAATGGCCATTCCAACAACACCAATGATAAGTTCATAACATTTTCCCAGCAGGGTGTCCCTCCAATGGCTCTAATGTTATCTACTTTTTTGAGATTCCAATCTTTAAGGGGGACACAACATCCTGGATATTCAAAATAGACTTGGTCCATTTTCTGTCAAAAAAAAAAGAAGAGGGTTAGTAGGCCATTATTATAACACCCTTAGTTTATTTTAAATAAAAGAACATGAATGCTAATGAAGTATCATTTAATACTGATTAAAGAATAATTAGTCCTTTAGCCATATTTGTACTTACTGGATACCTTTAGATTTTGGAGCCACAGAGGTTATGCAAAGGAGTAGAGTATCTTTTGGTATTGGTTAAAGGGATGTCAGGCCCTTTACCATACGTATACCTACTAGACATCCTAGAATTTAGAAGCCACGGGGCATGGCCGAAGTGTGCCAATTTATCTTGGGTCAGTCAAAAAATGAAGTATCTTTTGATATTGGTCAAGAGAAGGTTAGACCTTTTGCCATATGCATACCTACTAAGTACTCCAAGAAATAAGGAGGGTTGCAATGGTCTTTTGATGCTACTTTTCAAGAATTGAACTCTTGGAGTTGTGCATTTACTTGGCCTTAAGATGGGCATAGGATGAAGAATAGTAAAAATCAAAATGACCTTTTGATGCTACTTTTCAAGAGTTAGGCTCATAGAGTCATGCATTTAATTAGCTTTGAGATGGGTACAAGATGAAGCACATAAGGGGTCAAAATTGGCCTTTTAATGCTACTTCCCAAGAGCTAATCTCATAAGGGCATGCATCTACTTAGCCCTGAGAAAAACAACCTTGAGGTGGCAAGATAGGATTCTTTAAGTATTTCAAATGAGAGCTTTAGATTTGGAGAATTTACTGGATTTTGATCTTGATTTCAGATTTGATTGAGTTTGTTCTTTATTTCTACTACCACTAGACTTTGATCTTGGATGTAACATTGATAGCTTAAAGGGTACTTTGATGTTTTTAGATTAGGTTTTTATTTTAAGGGATGTAGGTTTATTTTGACCTTACATCCAAGGATGGAAACCAAATGGTGCAACACTCTTAGTGTCCTAGTCTTATGCTAAGGATCTTTTATCCTACTTCTATCTAAGGCTCCTATATATGGGTATTCTAAGTGCAATGCATGAAGTTGTTGGGGGAGTTTTAGACTCTGAGGTTCCAAAAAGGCTGATAGCCTTCAAACCTCCATCCATGGACAAATGGGCTTCTTTGGTTGGTGGCTAGTTTGAAGGTTTTTGGTGGATCCTTTAAGGACCAAAATCCAAGAGCACACACTTACTGTCCTTTCTTTAATAGGTGAAATGGGACTCTAATTCTATTTACATGAGAGTGTGTGTGACTGTGAGTGTTCAAGCATGCAATAAAATGAATAGAAAAGCAACAAAAAAGAAGGAGAGAATGCAGCCACATGTTCAAGTTTACAAGCAACCCTACAAGTTTCCAGGTGGCTACATTTGGGGATTTAATAGAAGCTAAGTTCTTGTGGCACACTTTTGACTAAAACAAAGAAAAGGAAAGAGCAAAACAAGGAACAAATGCAAGGCTAATTACACTTAGTTATAAAGAAAGCAAAAACTAAAACAAAGAGAGATTACCAAAGGAAAAGAGAGGGGATGGGAGAAAAAAACCAAAAAAAAGGAAAAAAACAAGGGGCTTGTATGCGATTTAGGTGCTATAAGACTGAAATACGGTGTAATGGATAGGTTCTGAGGTGCGATGGATAGGTTCTAAGGTGCGATGAGTAAGTTCTAAGGTGAGGTGCGCAGGTTGTAAGGTGAGATGAGCATGTTCTAAGGTGCGATGAGCAGGTTCTTGGTGCGATGAATAGGTTCTGATTTTTGATGAGTAGGTAGAAGGTGCAGTAATCAGGTTCTAAGTTGCAATGAGACTGAACTGAGTTGCGAATTTGGGCTTTTGGTTTGCGATTTTTGAACTTTTTGGTTGCAATGGAATTATAAGAAAGGTGTTAGGCACCCCTCTCTTCAAGCTACTATAGCAGCCCACTACAGAAGTAATTCATGCTCAATGTGCTCAGATTATTTGGGGTGTTCATCATGGGAAGTGTACCTGGCTAGTGGCTCCTCAAGAAGGAGGAAATAGAAAGCAGAATCTGTTTGGATTCAATTGATTCGATTGATAAGTAAATAACCTGCATAAGAACAGTATGCAGTAACTCGTGTATTCTTTGGTTAAGAACTTGTCAAGATGGTTGGAATTTGGTTCTATCTTTTGTTTGTTTTTTTTTGTGTTAGTATTGAATAATTAAATTCTAAAAGATTATATTGACAAACTCTTAATATGGAATGAAGTGTTGCATTTCAATCTGGTTTGGACTGTAAATCTGTAATTTTTAAATAACACCCGTATAAAGCTTCATTTAATTTGGACCGGATTGGGTCCAATCCGGTCCATTTGCATTTCAATTGGACTGGATTGGATCCGGTTAGTATGGGGTTTGGACCAGACTTGGTCCGGTCCATTTGTAAATAGACCAATATTGGACTGGATTGGGTTGGACCAAATCCAGTCCAACTGACAGCCCTACTTCCACCATATGTCCACTCTTGTTTGTAGTAGCCTCCATTCCATAAACAACCACCATAAAATGTAGATATTGCTCGTTTCTGGGTAAACAAGAACAACCGCCATAAACAACAAATATTAAATAAAAGAAAGATAACCCCAAAAATCAATAGAATGTAAAAGCAACATATATACAGACCATGTCCTCATGCTGCATTTGAAGTCTAACTTTGTCAATGAAGAGATGCCCGACAAAGGCAGATCGTTTTCTTTGAAATACAGGATTTGCTCTGCTACCAATAAGAGATCTACAAATAAAGCAAAGCTACAAAATCAGACTCCTGAAATATGAGAAATTACAAAAAAGGCAAACGGTTTTAGTACCATGTCTGCGACTTATTATGTTCTTTTCATACAACCCATCATATAATACATATTTCTTATGTTTTATTTAGGGCTTTACTATCAAAATATAAAAGATTCAAAGGGATTTGAGGAGAGAAAGAAAAGGACAAAAGAAGAGGGCTCATACATTTTCTTTTTGCTCTTTTTGTTTCTGAAATTATCTTTTCTTTCACTAAACAGAACATGGGAAGAATATTAGATTTTTTTTGTTAAAATTTTCTGTCATTACTCTCTCTCTCTCTCTCTCTCTCCATCTTAATTCTTTTATTAGTAGAAAACTACAGCCTTGTTTGGGTGCTAATAGTTTTTTACATCCAGATTCTCTACTAATTGCTTTAACCATGGAACCTAGTTGCAGAATCCCCTGCTAGATGATGAATTTCAGCTAATACTCTTCTGCTCTTGCACCACTACATCCAACCCCATGCAACTAAACAATGGATCAGGATTTCATGGATTCTTTAAACCATCACTAATACTTATATGTATGCATGTCTTCATGGGTTTATAAGGTAGTAAGCTAGGATGGGAATTAGAAAAAGTTCAAGTTTACCTTATTCGTCAGAGATGGATCAACTAGAAAACTCTGTGGCCGTACTTTTTAGGCTAGCCTGAAATCGAAAATAATAAGAGAACACAGGGGTGTTCACTCCATTCTTCCCAAAATCTGACAAAACTTTCATTACTTGATTTATTGATTTGTTAAAGTACATTACCTCTGGAGACGAGATAGGGGGTAGGCGCGCTAATTGGTATAAGAATGTTGATGGAGCCAAACAACAAAAAAGACAAATAGAATAACAATTGAAAAAAAATCAAAACTTCTCTAAAGAGATTTCAAGAAATGGATTTTACCATTGAAAATGAGAGAACCAACCAAGCAAACACTCCCTCAAGGATTCTGCCTTCAGCCCCAACCTTATCAGTCACACGCGACTCCAAGACTTCTCACTCCCTCATGTCTACCCTCATTCTAACTTCCTACCTAATCAATTTTAAATCTGCCGCTTCTACTTGTCGCTGTCAAGGATGCCATCCGATGAAATATGCTACTAACCTCCATCGCCACCCTGCACTTCATCTACCAATTCCTGCGATGAGGAAGCATGGGTTTGGGTTTGGGCCCTGATTAAAACCGAGGCTCACCGGAACACCGATGCTAAACTCACACTCACCAGACTCTCGCTCGCTTCATCTCCTTCAACCTTAGCAATAAGGTCTGCTCCTCCACCCTCCTCTCCACTCTCCTCTATGATCTCTTCCTTAGCTTCTTCTCCATCGATCCCTCTCTCCGTTCTGCCACCGTTGCTGACCGGCCTCCTTGCTGACCATTGAAAATGTGGGAACGGTTTAAGGCCTTAGGCGAGTGAATTCGCACGCGGAATAATATTTGAGTACACGGGAGAGTTTTTTATCAACTAAATTGGTGGTGTATTTTTGCTTGGTGCTTTCTATACTTTTTAAATAAAATATTTAAATGTGCACAGTGGGCAGAGAGTAAAGCGCAACTTTTAAAATTACCGGCAGTCGCCATTTAACCCCCTTTAAAACTGCCGCTATTTATCAGTTTTCTTGTAGTGGGCGTTGGGGTTGGTGTCCTTATATAAGTTAGCTTCCGTGGGTTTTACGAAACTGTTCCGAAATCTCCATTCTGTGCTGTTCCGTATTAGAAGGTGGACTTCGTGCTAGTTGATAAGATTTATGAGTCTGTCCGATCCAAGCGGGATAAAAACAAAGCTCCCTGGTTAGTTTCTAGAAATTGGTTACGTGTCACCTTGGCAGGTCAGGCCATCCTGAGTTGCTCAGTCTTCGGTCTTGACTGAAGTGCCCAAGATACCCAAGCTGGTCTATCTTGCTGAGGTGACAAAAAGTGCTAAATCGTCGTCTAATCAGCAAGCCGCTTCCACATGTCCGGGTATTGATAGGTCGAGCCAAATTACCGTTTATATCAACCAAATATATCTTATGGGATTCTTGGGCCAGCTCCATATACGACTAGGTCAAGACAATGCACAGAGGTGATAACCAAAGTGGCATAACGTTCTGGCATCATGGATTTACCCGTAAGAAAATTGGTCCCAATCCATTTACTGAGCAGCCATGTTGGGTCCCTTCTCCAAAGACCTGTAAAACTAGTACTCTGGTTCGAAATCCAAACTCATTACGATCATTGAAATCATTTCTTGTTTTTGATTTCTGTTCTGCCAAGGTAGTGTTGAGAAAACAAAACTACTTGTATCTGAGTATATCCAGTCATGCTTGTGATGATAATCTTCTGGGCTTTTAATGAGTCTTGATTACAACAGAATTCTTAGAATAAGTGTGCAGAAATTTAAGTGAACTAGGATATGTACATTATGGATAGAAAAGGCTGATGTCTAGAGAGAGAGAATTTGATTGTGCGTAAATAGTAGCAAGTGACTCAACTTGCACCACCACATACCTGTACTGACTATTTGGCATGCACTTATGGTTTATTTGGTTGCTGAGAGAGGATAGGATGAGAAAGATTGGGATGGAAAGAGAAATGGCCGAAGCTATCTTGTCATTCATCGCATAAATCAACAACAAAATGGCCATAGATAGATTAATATTTATCAAAAACATCCATCACCAAATATCTATAAAAAATTGAACAAATATCTTAACCTTATGGTAGATCTATAGATTAAACACACATTCATCTTTTTCTGTAAGAAAATAGTTGGGATCTCTTACCTTGGCACGATTTAGCAAGAAGGTTTGAACTCTACAAGTAAAAAATCGCAACACAATATTAGATCTACAAGATACAAGTCTACATCTATAAAAAAAGTCAAGCTAAAATGCTAGAAACAATGGCTTTTGGCTGACGAATGGCCATTTCTTCCCACCGGCATGAGGAGACCAACAACTCCAAAAATGATATGAAAATAGTCTTCGGTCGTCGGTGTTCATGGTTATGGTCATACCTTAGCCGGAGATCGATGGAAACGATGCCAGTGACTTGACCATTGTAGACGCAAGTATGCAGTGAGGGTCAGTTGCTCAAGGTTGAGAGGAAGGGCCTGATATTTTTTTCTCCTAGTTTTATTTTCTCATCGGGATCACACCATTTCAGCTTCATCCCACTTCATTGTTTATGGGAACTCGCATCCCATGGTTTCCCATCCCATTCATTAGAACAAATGTCGGAAAAAAGAAATCTAATGAGAATATTCTCATTTTCTCATTCTCATCGCAGGAACCTAATACACCATTAAAATGATATTTGGCAGGATTTACCCCATGGTAAATTCATGCATTTTTGAGCTTTTATTTAAAAATATAATTTACTTGAATTATTCAAGAATAAAATGGAGAAAATTCCGTAGAAAACATAGGCTACACTATTTCAATGGCATCATAGTCCTAGAAGAGGAAGGATTGAATTCTGAATTATTAGATCATAGGCACTTTCCCTAAAAGAAATCCCTATAAGAATTGGTTTCTGTGTGAACGTATTAGCCCCAGATTGAAATATAACCACTTTATTGAGTCGGTGTTTTTATCTTTGATATTGAATATAATTGGAAAATAGAGAATATATTCCTCTCTTTTGAAAAGAAAGTATATAATTGATGAGCGCCTACTCAGAAAATTCTACATTTCCTTCTCCATATCTCTTCTCCTTTGGCACCTCCTCTGCCAACTAAAGCAACCTAATCAAAAGCAATCTCTAAAGGTGATAGATTCCAATTCTGTTGGGCTATCGATTCAACCTCGAGTGCTTTTCTTTTGACAGTTTGTAACGATAATATACTTTGCTGAACAGGAAGCGAGAAAGACTCTTGGGCCATTAGGTATGATTTTCTGGAAGTTTTCACAGTCAAAAGATAATGTGAGCTTTTACATTAAGATTTTAACAGTTTAAAAATTGTTTGGTTAAGGTCCTGAGTTTGTGCAAAAATAAATTGAAAAAAGGCGAAAAACTCTATTTAGAGATTCTTAAAAATAACCTGAAATAGACTTCCCACATTTTTTTGGGTTATGGCTTTCAGCAACTAAATCTTTTTCCAACCAAATAGGAAAAGACCAAAATGCGAGCTGTCGAACTTCTAAAAGACTGACAGCCCGCATGAAAAGGCGTGCCAAACGGGGTCTCATCAGTTCATCTTGAGATAAAACCCGAAAATTGGACCAGACCATTTTTTGTTGGTGTTTCTATTCAATGGTTCAACCATGTGGCTCAATGTGGTTTAAAGCACCTGGTCTGATTGTCTGAAGCATATGGACACAGTTCGAATTGTTTTGACATCTTGTTTGACGATTTATTAATCAGAATCCCAATTTTCAATGCTCTGATGATTTTTGAGGTAGAACTACGGCTGGACGTAGGAATGGTTCAAGTTCCTGGTTCAACCAATTAATCTTTAAAATCTTGGGTTAGGCACATTCTCTTAAACCCGACTTGATCCAACTTATAAAGACAGAATTTTTGAACCCACTATAACCAACCAAATCCAATCTAACCCTGATCGTTCTAGTGAAGGTTATTCATGGAATCTTCATCAATTTCACAATATCATGTGTAAAAGAAGTTTGAGGATGACCCAACCCGGTTCATGTTAGGGCCACTTGAACCCAACCCGATAGGCTGGGATTCATAATTATTATGAATCTATTCACAAACAAATAAAAAAGGATAAAGAAAAGAAAATCCAGGAATCATCAGAGTTGTAACCTGCACGCAGTCTGTGTGAATCAGAGGACGAAAAACATTACCAAATAAGGTTTCAAAAAGAAGAGAATAACTTTAAAGATCAGCCGGCGCTGGCCAACAGCATCGCGACCACCACGTCTAACCCCAACTTTTGCACTGTATTTGTGTATATATACACTATGGGATATAGAGAGAGATCCATCTGAGTCCACACAAGCTAGTAGATATCTCAACAGTAGCTTATAGCCTCTGCTGTTTCTGGTCCAAAATGCCCAAATCAGAAAAACAAGGAAACAACCAGCCTCCACCAGGTCTCTCTCTCTCTCTCTCTCTCTGACATAGACCTAGACACACGGTTCATCTTATTTCCTCCATGCTATTTGTGGGCTCTCAATGGTTTGATCTTTCTTTTGTTTGTTTCTTATTCTGTTCTTGAAGGATATCCAACTGAAAATCCTCCTAAGCGGAAGAAATGCTGCCCACAATCAAAAAAGAAAGGAGATAGAGGCTTCATTGAGGGATGGTAAGTTTTCTATGACAAAACCAAATCTATCAAGCATAAAAGAAATAGGCTTTGCTTTCCATGATTTATTCACCCAAAAGGGATTTGAAGCGTTCTTGACAGGCCATCTCTGGAATGCTTGACCTTGAAGCTAACCAATTTGTATTGATTTTATGGGTGCAGCCTCTTTGCTTTGTGTTGTTGTTGGCTGTGTGAAGCTTGCTTCTGATGGAATCCATGGAGAGCATATGGGCAGGATATGATATGCCTTAGCATGTAGGAGAGAGAGAGAGTTCATGACTTGGGGACACCCACCATGTTATCTGATAGTTAATTACACTGTGTTCACTTACTAATATGTATGTCCTTGTTATGTATGTATTATCTTGAATACTATGTGATTGTTTGGGAGAGAACTTTCCACTGGTACAGCTCTTAGATTTTTGGGTAATTATTGTGGAAAAAGGATTGTAACTGGTGGCTAATAAACAATATATTTTGTATGTATTTGTACTATATATTTTGCATTTCTACTCTTTTCAAACTGAGCCTAAGTTTCATCATTACCCAAAAGAATAATAAACAAATTTCATAAATCATTGAGCTAGACAAAAAAAAAGGCCCTCAAAACAGATATCTCCATTTCTTTAGACAAGAGATAGAAGTTTAAACAAGGAATTGAGTAGAACGGATCAAAGTAAAGGAAAAGAGGACAATACATAAGCGAATATATAAATCTTCCAAAAAGAAACTTTATGTTATTTGAAGGGATTAGTCCATTTAATGGTTAGATTAAAGAGAAGATTCCGGCTTTCAACTAAGGCTGTATTTGGTTTGGAAGAAAAGATAGGAAAAGGAAGTCCTTTGAATCGGGATTTTCCTTCCTTTCCCTACCTTTTTCTTAGGCTGTGTTTGGTTTGAAGGAAAAAGTAGGGAAAGGAAGGGAAAAGTTGGGAAACTTATACAAGTTCCTTTCCGTACTTTTTCCTTCAAACCAAACATAGCCTTAAGGATCACAGAGTCATGATTTCCATACCGCAAAAAATGAATATGGAGACTTTAATGGAATTTACTACTTGTATTTGGATTAGGACATGTAGAAATGGAATTAAGAGAGGGAATTAAAAAGGAGTTCGACCTCCTACCCACAGGACACTACAGCTGTACATTGGGAATATTTTGGATCTCTTGCCCACAGGCCACTATAACTGTACATTGGGAATATTGGGAATAGACTGTAGTGTCTGTGAGTAGAATTCTTAGACCTCAAATCTCCTAATAACAAAACACATTCCAACACTCTACTAACTTGATCTAACACTGCACATCGGTTCCACTTAAATATGAGATGTATGGCGTTAAATGGGTTGGTAGGATGTTGGAACAAATTTTATTAGCTGTGATCCGGGCTCGGATTCTTGTTGAGGAGTCATTTCAATTTCATTAATTTTGGGGAATAGCAATTTGGTACGGATTATACTCCTGAATCTAAAGACACAGTTTAAGCGAATTAATTCGGTTTGTATTAACATTTCTCTATAAATCAATTCTTTCTGGATGAATAATCTGTGCACTAAAATGTGAAATAGAAAAGAAATTAGATATTTTCATCTTTTGTGGTTTCCAAGCAAAAAAGTTAACATTGTAGATAGCTTTGATAAAATATAATTAGAAGTTATAACCTGTTTTTCTAGATAAATTAAAGGAACTTCATTCATTCACATCAAAGGATGCATAAGCTAGTAACCAGACTATTGGAGATATACCTCCACGTGTACTCCTTGTCAGTTTAGATTTCTATTAAGTCTTATCCTTAGTAGGATAATTGTTATCCTAACGTGATGTATTCTTATTGGTTGCTTATTTCTGTGAAACTCCATCTTCGATGGAGTTCTCATTGTTGTACAACTTTTCATTATAAATAAGATCAAGGACAATAAATTAATCATCGAGCCTAAGTATTCTTTCCAAATCTTCAACTCTATCTTGGTAGCAGAGTCTACTTCGACTCTCATGGCTTCCAGTGGCTTCAGCTCTGAATCTCAACGCTCAATGAGTGTCTTGGCCACCAACAGTACATTAGGCTCGAACTCAATCCAGTCAAGTGGAATACACTATCTTCCCATCAAGCTTAGCAATGATAACTACTTGTTCTAGAAGGCCTAACTTCTGTCGATCCTTTACACAAACCGATTAATGGGGTATGTAGATAGATCAATTGCTGCACCACCACAATATATACAAGATCTGATTGAAGGCAGTCGAATGATCCTCAATCCAACATATTCAGATTGGTTTGAGAAAGATTAGTTGGCACTCTCTTGGATTATTGCGTCTCTCACAAGGAACGTGTTTGCACAAGTAGTAAGACATCTATCGTCTCACGATGTTTGGAATGCCCTCGTTAAGTCCTTTACCAACTATTCCTGCTCTAGATTGCTTCAGTACAGGAGACAACTCCAGAATCTCAACAAAGGAGGTATGCCTATTTCTGAATATGTTCGGAAAGCTAGATCTATAGCTAATAGTCTATCTGCAGTTGTCGAACCCATTAACACTAGTGACTTAATTCTTTACATAATTGTCGGATTGGCAGTTGAATATGAATCTAAACAACAACCTATACATTGCTCTTAGGAATAACTATGGCAGAGGCAGGGGTATGGTTCTTCAGACAACTGCACAAATAATGGAAGTAGAGGGCGCAACAATCCAATTGTCTGTCAACTATGCAATGAATCGGGACATGGTGCTGTGAAATGTCATCGGTGCTATGATTTAAATTTCAAGAACGAAGAGACGGAACCAACCGCCTACAACAGCAGCATTGCTTCCACCCAATCGTCTTTCGACCCAACCTTCATCCAGATAGTGGTGCCACACATCACATGACACCCGATATTGATAATCTATAGATTCATTCCAAGTATGGAGGAACCGACCAAGTTAAAGTGGGAAACGGTTCAAGTTTGGCAATTAAGAATATTGGTTCCCATGTTATTAACACTGCTACTCATCAGTTTGCTTTAAACAATATCTTTCATGTGCCAGATTTATCTAAAAATTTGTTCTTCATTCCCAAGTTTGCTCGTGATAACAATTTATATTTTGAATTTCATGGTGATTGTTTTCTTCTAAAGGATTATATGGGGAAAATACTACCGTGACGGCCCAGTAGAAGCGGTCTCTATCAATTTCCAAGAAGCATGACTAGTACGAATAAGCCTTCAACCTTAGTCGGTGAACGGGTTTCCATCAGTGATTGGCACAAGCGGCTCGGAAATCCAGCTATGCATGTTGTGAGGCAAGTAGTGTCATAGTTTGGGTTACTATATGAAGGTCAACTTAATTTCAGCACCAATATAGTATGTGATTCTTGTTAATTAAGCAAAAGTCATAGGCTATCTCTCCCCCCTTCGTCTACAATTATTTCCGGTCCATTAGATTTGGTCTTTTCTGATGTATGGGAACCAATCCCAATTTGTCTAATGTAGGGTTTCGTTACTATGTAATTTTCATTGATGCTTATAGTAAATTTTCTTGGTTATTTCCTTTGCAAAGGAAGTCGGATGTTTTTGATGTATTCTTGTCATTTAAGTGTCATGTTGAAGTTTTATTTAACACTAAAATCAAAGCTTCCCAATCTGATTGCGGTAGAGAATATCGCAAACTCTTTACATACTTGGACTCCGTTGGCATCACTCACCAACTCGCTTGCCCTCACATACATGAATAGAACGGCAATGTTGAACAGAAACATTGCAAACACTCTACATACTCGGACTTTGTTGGCATCACTTACCAGCTTGCTTTCCCTCACATACACAAATAGAATGGCAATGCTGAATGGAAACATCACCACGTCACCGAAGCAACATTGTCTCTATTGGCCTCCTCGTCGCTCCCCTTTTCCTTCTGGGCAGATGCTACCCTTACAACAATTTATTTAATTAACCAGCTTCTGACCAGCACTCTCTGCCACAAGTCTCCCTTCAAGATTCTTTTTGGTTCTCCTCCAGACTATCGGTTCCTTAAGATTTTTTGGTGTGCTTTCTACCCATTTCTTCAACCACACAACTGGCACAAGTTTGACTATTGCTCGAAGCAGTGCAGCTTCATCAGCTACAGCGATAAACACAAGGGTTATCGGTGTTTGCATCCTCCTACTGGATGAAATTATACTTCACGCCATGTCATTTTTTATGAACACAATTTTCCCGGCATACCTACGGTCTCTTCTCTAGATCCGGTTCATCTAGCCATAATTTATTTGCAGTCTCCCATCTCATCTAGCACTACTCCCAGCACACCTCCATCATTGGCTCCACCTTCTTCATCGCGGTTTGAATCTACTTCAAATTCCATGAGTACTGGCAGTCTTAGTAGCACATCGGCATCTCAAGAAGGGTTCACCTCCCCCGACATTGGACCTCGTGGAACACATCCTCTTCAAGATATTCTTGACAACATTGTTCCTATAACACCTTAGAATTATGCAATTTCTTGCCAACACAATATGGCTACTCGGTCGATGGACGACTCTCTCCTCCTCACTCTCATCTAATTACCAAGTATCCTTTACCTCAGTCATTGTTGGCCCAGTTACATGATGAGACTGTTGAACCATCTAGCTATTCCAAAGCAGTAAAATCTGCTCATTGGCGTAAGGCTATGACAAAAGAATTCAACACCCTCATCAATAACGGTACTTGGAGTCTTGTACCATACTCCTCTCATATGCATGTGGTAGGAACCAAGTGGATCTATAAGGTAAAACGGAAGGTCGATGGCACCATTGGCCGATACAAGGCCCGTTTGGTTGCACAAGGGTTTACTCAAATTCTTGGTGTTGATTTCACTACTACTTTTAGCCCATTTGTGAAACCGATAACCATCTGTACCTTTCTCTCTCTTGCGGTTTGTCAACAATGGTGCATTCACCAAATTGATTTTGACAATGCCTTTCTTAATGGTGAACTTTGAGAAGATATAAATGTTAAACAACCCAAGGGCTTCGAAAATCCCTCCAAACCTGATCACGTCTGCAGTCTAACATCTAAACAAGAGAAGAGCACACATTAGAGGCCCCGGGTGTTATCCCAAGGGCAAAGACTCCGATAGTCAAGTTAGCCGAATGCTTAAGAGGGGTTGGACTAGGCAAGAGACAAGAGCTCAGAGCTTAGTCCTTAATTGCCAAGGATGGATGATTCTCTTGGAATTCTGAATATGCTTACCTTGAGATGAGTACCCCCTTTTATAACTAACCTTGCCTTAGGAGTGGTTGGAAGTAGTTGATGATGTGTAGCCAGTATTTGATCTGGTCGATGCCACGTGGCACGATCTGAGGCCTGCCAAGTATCCCTTCATCACTTGCCCCCTACTCTCGAGGCCGTAGTGGTCGATGTCAGATGGCATGTTGTGCGGAGTCCTCGGCTTCGGCTATGTGGAAATAGTTTCTCTATTCTTTCCCCGTCTTAGTAGAGAATCGTTATGGGCTGAAAAC